AAGCCTTCGTATAATCATGATAGAATTCACGTACAGGTAACTTCGTTTTATCATTAATTTTACTTCAAATAGGTATATTGTTACTTTTGTACTTTATCAACAGCCGAAGAAGCCCTTTTTAGAGGTAAAGAAATAGCAAGCAGAAAGTTGGGTACTTACATGACGATAGTCACAAATTTGTAAATTATCTTCGTAAAGAATTTTAAATGTGACCAATAATCTTTAAGTGTGACTGATTTTGACATTTCCATCAAACAGAAAATATTTTCTGAATAAATCTTCTCTTTGTATTCAAAAATCAGTTCAAGTGCGACGTAAAAAACCGAACATGATTCAAATTCCAATCTGGCGAATGAATGGGCGGACTCTGAATTCTGACCCTCGAAATTCGCCTGGCTAATCTACTGGGGTGACATCATGTATATGCAAAATGCGCAGATTCTTGCGATTAATTTAATAAAAAAAATTGGTGATGTGGTGTTTTGACATACATTATTAACACGATTTCAATTTTTTCAAGATTTCAATGTAAGTCAAAATTTCTTTATAATAAACATGTCTAATGGACCCATAACTCAGCTACTGAGGACTTAAAAGCATTTTGTCCTCTCTCATACTAACTTAGCCCATAATGATTAAAAACGAGAATACATTACAACAGTTAAACCAAAACACACACACGCAAGTATATTAGTGAATCAAAATAAAAAAGTATTTTAATAAATTGAATAATAAAAAAATATTTATCTAAATTTTATTTTTAACGCTCATTTGTCTTAATTTTGAATCCCAACATGAAACTATCAAAGTTAATTCATACAAATAACAATTTTTTTTGCGAACAGAATAAAAAATCTATTTATTTACGTTTTACGTCTCGAAGAAATAGGATCAATCATTAAAATAGATGACCTTGAAGATTTTTTTGCCTACTGCTTCAATGATCATTTAAACACATGCCAATAATAAATAGTTTTGGTTGTTGTGTCACTTTTTTCCGTTTACTACATTGGTCCTGACAGTCTCCTCTCAAATTCCTTTCATGGTCAATTTAAAAGTACATATAATAGAGTTGTCGGCTATCGAATGGGCCCTAGCGAATCTAATTTGTGCCTTTCTACACCGCGTGAAGGGACCACACGGAGGGTTAAGGAAGATTGCATATGTGTACCGCCATACTTAAAAGATAGTACGGAGAACTTATATACAGTACGAGTACATTTATTTCAACATTATTGTAATTTCAGGCAAGATGATATAAAGTGACGGGACTAACAAGTAGTGCGCTTAGTTGTAACGACACGCCTGTCTATATCAGTTGTTGTGCTAGCTATATATCGCAAAGATCTGAGGGGAACTGCCACTGCGTCTGTCAACCTGAGACATGAGTTGAAAAGTCCCATGGGCCTGTAATTTCACCAGCACCCTTACCCTTCAAAACCGAAACGCAGTAATGGTCACATTACAGCTTGGCGGCAGAAATAGAAGGTGGCAGTGCTTAACTGGACGAACTCTTTCACAGGGAGCTCTACTGCAACTACAGAGGTTGCATGAATGTTTGCCTAAAATGAAAGAAAATAGAATAAACTCAACAAATTAAACAAGATTTTTTTATTCCAGAATTACTCAATACTATATCTATCAAATATTCAATGAACAAATAAAAAACTTTCTAGTACAAAAATGGTACTAATAAACTATGAACAAATTTTTCGAAAATAAAACATTAAATAATTAAGAACTAAACTAACGGGATAACTCACGTTAAATAATTAGGTGCATTATTATTATTTTGTTTTGTATTATGAAGATTGATAAAGATATTTATTATTATTAAATTTAAGTTGAATTGTTTGCTCGACACATTTCGAACCAGTCCACTATGATACGCCTAGAACATGCTAGCTGGACAAAAATATTTATTGCTATTTGTGCTTTGTAGGGTTTTCCTATTACCTATTATGACTACCTAATTAAATTTTAGGGTCAGGGGACCCATTTTGAGGGGAGGGGAGAGAGCGAGTAGTGGTATTATGGTTAGATAAAAAATCCTTTTCCCATCTAAATAATAAATATATTGTAAGAATAAAAAACCAAACAACAACAGCGAGTATAGTCAGGTAGTGAGAAAATAGGTGTAGCAGGTACAAATTAACCATTAACTAATTAACTAATACTTTACTTATAATCTATAATTAACTAATACTTTACAATTTTCTAATACCCCATAATTAACTAATACTATTAACTAATCTTTAATTCTCGGTATCGCTAATTTCTTTTTCCGAAGAATCAATTTCAGTATACTCGTAGTCATGCATGGTGACATCAGGACTACACAGTAGTAACAGTTAGTACTTTGACTTCGATTTACAGATGGGGGTATATTAAATCTAATACGTCAGAAGGGAGGCTACCTGTGTTTTTTGGGGAACGTCTCTTAGGCCGTTTATTACAGGGTCAGATGTGATCAACAACATATTAACTAAGTCTTTATTCGTGGCAATACGTGACCGTTTACGAGTATTATGCTCTTAGAATCTTCTGCAATCTTTATTGCGAGCTTCCTAAGAAAGCTGCCCAATTGATAGCAGAGCTGACTGAATAACTTCTGTACTGTGTACAAGAATGTTATGCACAGTAGCAGGCATGTAATACCACGGATAAAGATTTATATACAAATGTCTAGTGGCTTGTGCTAAAGGTTTAAACATCTCGATGTTAATATCGTAACCAGAAACTAAAATTCTGAGTATGGTGGCGAAATTTTTTATAAGAGTCACATCTACACCTGTAATATCTGCGCTAAGCTCAGGGTTAGCAAAAAAATCTACGGGCGGTATTTCCGTCATTTGTATTCCCAAACCCTGGTTTCGGTTTATCTACAATTAAGCCCATTTCAGTTTTGAATTGGCTTTGAATGTAGACGGGACGCTGTTTCACATTTTCTTTATCAGCTTGATCTCGTAGCTGCCATTGTTTAATATCGAATACGGTAGCTTATATGTAGCAAACATTCAAAACAACGAATCCATGCATGCAGTGTAGATAAACCAAAACCAAGGTTGTCCCTATTAACTACATACTCCCTAGATTCATCATTCATAACTTTTGGGGTAGCTCCACAAATATAGGATTTTTGTGATAAAGAAGTTTCAGTCACAGCATTGCACACTTTACCTTCAATTATTGTGAAAAGTACTTTGTGCTTGACAGATATCTCTTTGCCAACAACGTTACATATTGTCGGCAGCAACTGGTTTATTTCCTCCATGATTTATTTGTTTCTGCAATGGTATAGTCGGTAGTTTCCTTGGAGAAAATAAACTTAATAGGTCGACAATACATTGATGAAGATGGACGAGGATTCTGCCAAGCAATGTTACCACTTTCGTAGTGCAATTGAAGCGGCACAAAGGAAAACACAAATAAATATTCATCAGTGGCTTCATTACTGGTGAATTTTTGTTTGTAGGTGCTGTGACCGAAACTGCCACCACAACCCCACTTGCTTATAAGAGTGAATGGTGCCTCTAAAGAAGAATATTTAATATATAGAATATTCAACTGTTTTATTTAAAACAACTTGAAGTTTAATTTTTGCACGAACTTCATCCACAAATAAATCTTCTTCAGGAGGAAAACATTCCATCTTGGCTTGCCTAAAACTATACATTGATGGAAATACCTTATGACCTGCTTTCATACTCCACTTCCGCGTTTGCTTGTAGGCGTGGCTTGTTGACTTTGAGTCCACATAATATGCCAAAGCCTCTTCCTTCGTAAAGCACCTTCGACTTTTCGGGACTTTACTTAGCGTCCCTGATGACAACAGCCAAGTTCCGGTGCCCAGACAATCGCGCTGAAAATTCTGCCGTAGCCACTAACTGATTAGCGTCGCGGGTACTAAGCAAATCTTCAACTCTTCTCCTTTTCGTTTTATCGCTGGACACTTCAAATTCTTTGCTTGGACGTCCAGGGATTGAAGATACAGTGGATGAAGTTGGCTTTGCGTGGCAAAGGGACCCTTTAAAGACGCAGTCTTTTAACTTCCACTCTTCATTTTTTTTCTAAAAGTCATTGCGGCTCTTTTTGTGCGTGTACCATTTTTTTTCTAAATTTGAATTAAATGCGCTGATTGTTTTCTTTAGCGCCCTTGAAGAATCTTCGGTGATTCCGGAAAGTCATATTTTGGAGATAGGAAAGCAACCAATCCGCTATTCCGGTTTTCTTTGGCATGTTTAAGCCACTCCTCAAAAAGTTCTAATCTTGACATTGCGAAGAGGTGCTCTAGAAAAAATATAAAAAATATATATTCCACAACAGTCCATAGCCTAGATTTATTACTATTGGAAAGAAGAGAGGTCTAGCTACCATATATGTTAGTTTTAGAGGTCTGCGACACAAGTTGGCAATACTTTCCGGATCCAAAATACATAAAAAAACGGAAAAAAATTAGTTAAATTTAAATTTGGGATTACGTAAAAAAATAACGGGCAGTAATTTATTACGTTGTTTTATAAATTAAGATAGTACATACCTTCAAATTACATCACTAAAACCACTATTAAAATCACTGTCATATGTATTCGCGTCAAATGCAAAATTGCTAATGATAATTAGTGCACTTACCCCTTTTCTTATATACTTACCTGCTTCCCTTAATTACCGTAAGCGCGGTTTTATCTATCACATTAGTAAACAATTCGAAATCCGGGAAATTCGATAATGACTTTTGTCCAGCTAGCTTATTCTAGTCGAACTAAAAGTGCAGTCCGTGATTCTTAATCATGAGATTCAGAGGCGGTGGCTCGACGGACTACGTTATTTTTGTTTTTAAAATTGAACAATATGAGTGAAAATATGTGTGTAGATAAAAGTTATTAATAAACTTGATAAGTTTTCTAGGGCAATTCAATAATACAACATAGAGTAATCAGCTTCCTTATGTAATAGGTTAAATGCGACATATTGAATCTTCATGTGGACAGTGTAGTCTGTACTCCCGTTTCAATTAGAACAGTTGTCATTTATAATAATTTTATAATTAAATTGCGTTTCATGACATTATGCGAAATAAGTGGTTTCGGTGTGTGCTTTGTGTGCAGTTGGGATGGTGTACTGCTTCCATTATAACGGTGTGGTTTTTTGTTATAGAATTCTTTTCCTTATTTATTTATAATCTCAGTATAGAGTACTAAAAACCGACCTTAAAAGTTCGTGGAATTACATCTATTTGCCAAGCGTTATTGAAATCAGTTACCGGAAAGGGCGCGTAACCGGATTCATCCCTTAATTAGACACTCTTAGAGGTGGAATATTTTCTACAAATTTAAATGGGACCACTACCGAGGTACTCTCTTTCCACCAAAAAAAGTATCATCAAAATCGGTTCACAATCGTATCACGTAACATACATACAAAAAAAATACAATCGAATTGAGAATGTCCTCCTTTTTTTGTTAAAAATAGGATTGTTGTTTGTAGTACAGTCAAGAACTCAATAATCTTGACTCTTTCGACTTTAAACTTGACTTTCATTCTTGTCTCAAAGTTTAGGTGCTTTTGACCTTGTACTTTTTATGATACCTAGTGACGGGACGAACAAGTCGTGAGCTTGGTGCTAAACGACACGCTTGTCGATAGAAGTTGCAGTGCCACTCAGAGCTTTAAATCGCGAAGATTTCAGGGACACTGCCATTTCTCCTCTCACCCTAAGACATAAGTTGACAAGTCCCATATGCCAGTAATTTCGAAACATAGTAAATTCAAATTCAAAATAATCTTTACTTCATAGGTAAGCATTATTACACTTGAAATCGTCACATTGGTTAAACTCTACCGCTCATTCGTAAGGCAGATTCCCCTGAGAAGAATGAGCAAGAAACTCAATCTCCCCACATTACCGATTGGCGGCAGAAATAGGCAAGGTGGCTGAACTTCCTTGGACAAACTCTTTCACAAGGAGCTCTAACTGCTAGTAACACTCGTGAAACCAACATTTATGTCTTTGCCAAAATTTGCATACTTTTAATGTTTGCATACAAAATTATATACACCAAGGGATTACCTACTCATCGTCTTCTTCTTATCCTATCGACGGCATACACTACAATGCTTGCCATCGTGTGAAAGCATTTGTCACTCGGCGTAAGGTGCTTGCCGATTGTTGTCTGATCTACAGGAAAGGAATGGTACGTCGTGCGGGAAGGTTCTTTTCGTGGGCACCTTACCTTAGAACTAACGCAAAAATAAATGAAAAATTTCTAATCGAGATTTGAAATATAAGTCACAAATGAAAGAAAGAATCATAAATAATAATAAATTTAATAGCAGTAGAGTACCTTGTGAAAGAGTTCATCCTGGGAAAGACCTATTTATGCCGCCAAGAAGTAATGTGGAATTACTGCGTTCCAGTTGAGAAGGGTAAGGGTGCTGGTGGAATTACACGCACATGGGACTGTCAACTTATGTCTCAGAGTGAGAGGCGCAGTGGTAGTTCCCCATAAGATTTTTGCGGTTTAAAGCTCTGAATGGCACAGCATCTGTTATGGATAGGCGTGTTACTTGGTATTATAAAAAGAAAAAGAAAAAATATAGCTTTTTGACAGCTATGTCAGTCTTGTGTGTGTTTTTGAAAGAAAATGTCTGGCCAATCAATGTTTTCTTTTTTTAATATACATATACCATGCAAAATATAGATGTAGCAAAAATAACGACAAAGATAATAAAACATTGTCACTCGGTTATATTCAACTTCTTCACGTATACGAATAGATATGAAAAATAAAGAATAATAATAATAATATGATTATTTATTCAGACAACTAAATTTTGTATGGTCCAATGGTGTAAGTAAATTTACAAAAATAACATAGACTATGATAAAGGTAATAATAGTAAATTACAAAAAAGTTACACAAACCTTAAATTATAAAAAATGGCAGGCTGCTCTCTGTCACTCGCATCCTGATCCAACAGACTATTGTGAGACTATTTATCACATTTTTGTTTTTAAATAAACAATACAAAATTATATCTACACATGTATATATGTTTATTAGTACTTATTATGTAGAGAGTATTTATGAAGATATTCTTGTCTGCGCCCCAGTTTGCATATCCCAATGTTCTATCCTAAGGTTGCCTGGAAGAAATTGCTACATAACAATAAAGCCACCTGTTGCACACTAAGTTACTATTTTTTTACTTAAGTAAGTATTCTGTGTTGTCACTATAATTTTTTGAACAATAAAGAATATTTCATTCGTTCATTCCGACCGTTTCAAACAATGTCAATTCAAAATTATCTTTAACAATAGGCAATAAAATCGAGTATATATTTTAAAGGTAATCTCAAACACAATAGATCTATTATATCACAAAGCATAACCCCAGAAACCCGTGTATTACCGTTACACGCGCACTCGACGAGGCGAACGACAAGGTATATTGTTGTATTGACCTACTACTCTAAAAGCAGCTTATTATAACATCTTCAAATAAAATTACATATGTCAAACAGATGTCTAAAAGCATATTACTATTACTTAGAAAGATTGTTATGTTAACCTTTCAACCGTTTAATAAAACCTTAACTCCTCACGAAATGGTCAGAGTGCACAATTAATCTACGAAAGTCATCGATGTTTAATGAAATATAATTTATAAATATACATGTTAGAAGGCTATCTAATGTTTTATCATATACACAAAGCTCTCGTGGCCGTCACGTGCTGAGATTAATGGTAAAATTACTTTACTTAATCGATTGTTGATATGATTATTATTGTTGTGTAATTTTTAAGCCTTTTTTGTTAAGTACATACCTTGACATATCGATTTTGTTTCACGTAAATGTCACCCGGTAAAACATCACTAAATCAAGTATAATATTGACAGAGTATTAATTACTCAAACAAACAGGTAAAGTCAGAGTATATATGTAATAAATTAAATGGTTATCATCACAAGTACAAATAAAGTCATATGATTGATTATACTCTTGCGCAATTCCTTCTCTGAACAGAAATTATTATAATATATTATTTACATTCATGGCGGTAATAATTAATTTACTTCACAACTCACGAGATGATATTCTCAATTAAATTATTAGTAATAACTTTGTTTTATGTTAAAATTACAGTTACGCAGTTTAGAGGACGACGTTTTTTCTGTGCAAACTCTTCATTCTTCATCAACTTCTTTCAGTCATTGGTATTATATTCATGTTCTTTAGCTTTTATGGTAAACCATGAACCACTACAGTTTCGGTGTATCTATGTGTCACAGTCCTTTTAGTCTCCCTCGTGAAAAGACGTACGTACACACAAAAAAATTGTGTCGTAAAATTTTTCAAAATATAACAATAAACAATAAAGTTGATTAACTCTCTGGTTATGCGTTGTAATAACGTTGTTCTTGTTTATTATATTTGATTTGCAAAAAATCAATAATGTTATATATATATATACAATATCATCGTTTCGTGGTCAAAGAAGACCACTACACTGTTGAAAATTGAAGCTTACGTCGTACATAATATGTTTAATTTTGCGACATCAAAACTTGGATACTTCATTTGCATTAGATTTGACGTATCTAGGTAAAAACCACGACATTATTAATATATACAAGTACCTTCGATATATGATAACATTTATTTGTAGGTACTACAAGTATTAATACATCGTCAACAACACTCAATATCGTCACACACCACATGTCTGTGGAGGTTTCCATCACTAAATAGTTCTTGTGACGTCATGGTGGGTACAAAAAATGTGTCACGCTTGGTTTTCATACCAATTGCTGTACTTACGGCGTCTATCTAGATATATGTCTGTGTCACACACGTAACACGCGTTACTACCTTAGAGGAACTGTTAGGTGTGAATTTCCAGATTATTATCCAGTGCCATAAAAGCTTGCGCGTTGTTTTCTTAAGGAATAAAATAGAAATGCTGCCCAAATAACGATAACTGAGTTGTCGACCGATTCGATTTGATATCGTACGATTTCTTTTAATTTTCATTTACAACTCCCGAATCGAACGTCAAACTGTCGTATTCGAAACCGAACCGCAATATCGGATACCCGTACCCGAGCTTCTCGATCGGTAAAGGCTACAAACGTTATTCAGAACACAGTTATCGAATGAAAGTTACCGAACGTCCAATTGTTTACAAAGCAACAACGTAATATGGAAATCTCTTATTATTTTAAATGAAGTGTGGATTTTGTTCAATTTTATTAATTTATTTTAATACAAGACCATTTTTTAGCCATTTCCCATATTTTAGGCCATTAAAGTCATAAAAATGTATATAAAATATTTTCATTTTTCTTATAATCTATCTCACCGACTGACGCCGTCATCGCTGTTGGATAACGATTACGTATTCGAATCCGTATCGCCCGATTCGGTTAATATATCGAAGAGTTCTGAATCGGGTTCCTGAGTACATTTATCCATCTGAAAAACAAGAACATTGATATCAGTTACTGTAATAGCATAACTACGATCGACTTCACATTTTAACGCTGATGCTAATCACCCTAAATTGGTAGGTTTGACAGATCGTTTAAAGCCGGGTACTCACTAGCGAGCTGTAACCGTAACCGTTGCATGTTATGTAACCAAAAATCGTAGTGTGTACTTCGTTCGCGATCTTGTCACGAGCGGAACGCGTGCGGTTCGCAGTGAGCCGTCTGATTGAAGAATGATTCAAGTGTACACACAAGAACCTCGTTACTGTATCTGTCACGTTACAGTTACAGCTCGCTAAAGCCGGGTACACGGTACTCATTAGCGTGCTGTAACATTATTTCACTAATAAAATAGTACAACTTTACAGCATAATAATAGTACTTTACAAGATTAAGAGAAAAAAATTATAGAACGTAACGGTATAAAAGTCACATCATAAATTTAACACACAATTAATTGCAATACGAAAATGTAGATATTAGCGAAAAAGTCATTGCAAGTTTCGCTAATCGCTTCCGCTTGAACCGCTGCCGACGCAAAACGCATAATCGCTTTTATTACGTAGACATAAAGCTTTTTCTGATCGATTCAAGCCAGATTCCGTTAGTAACTGTGGTGACCTTAATAATAAGTAGGTATTTAATTTTATATTTTCATAGAGGTGATTAGAGATAATTATTTGTTTACTATTTCCAAAGGTTAAGTTCGTTCTATCGCCGTTCCCAGCTGTCAACGTCATAAAGTTACCTTATTCCACTAAAAGCCCATCCCACAGAATGCCACAATCAAATATATTACAGAGCTTAAACCTTGCAATTTCTGGTATCTTATCACAATTACATTATTTGTAAGTCAATTATATAAGTTATAATAATTATATCGCAATTCCAGTCAACCTACCTACTACTTGCGATAATAAATACTCATTTCAAATTGGAAAATTAATAATTATGTCGAAATACTCATTTCGACATAATTATAACTTTTCCAATTTCCAGGCAAAAAAAAAATCGAGAAATAGCCCCAACAACCAAATATTAAAAATTACGTATACACGGTACCGTAATTTTTGTAACCGCCTTCTGCGTAAATGAAAATATATTATATGAGAAAAATGAACTACTTAAATCTAAACATGACCTCAAAGCTACCTGGAAAACATTAAAAAGAATAACAAACACCGAAAAGCCTCGTAACCCTCCGGAAGAATTACTCCAGTTATCCGTTGATTTTACGACCTCACTAATTAAATAACACAGTAAATAACTACTTTATCGAAATAGGTAAAAATTTAGCCTCAAAAATACGCCCCAGTACAGAACTTGACATCTCATTATATCTTAAAGACAGTAACAATCCAAATTCAATGGCGATTCTCGACACAGAGGAAACAGAAATAGAATCCATAATAATGAGTCTGCGGTTGAACTCTTCTAGTGGCTGCGACGGAATATCACCATCTGTCCTTAAATCGAATAAGGAATTTTTAATCCCCATAATTACCCACATATGCAATTCATGTCTTCGCTCAGGTATTTTTCCTAACGCATTCAAGAAAGCCTTAATCCATCCTATCTACAAAAGTGGCGACAAAAATAATACCGCAAACTACAGGCCCATATCCGTTCTCACCACTTTATCTAAGATACTTGAAAAATTTCTTAACAAGCGCCTCATTAAATTTCTGAATAAAAATAATATTATATCTAAAAACCAATAAGGGTTCCGTGCAGGTATCTCTACAGAAGACGCTGTCGTCGATCTAATCGAACATATTATTCGTAAATTAGATCAGGGCCAAAAATGTGTAGGAATTTTTCTTGACCTTCAAAAGGCATTTGATACAGTCTACATTCCTGCTCTTCTTTCTAAACTATATAACGTTGGAGTCAGAGGAGTCGCCCATGACATATTTAGCGACTATCTCACTGACCGTTGTCAAAGTATAATGATAAATGGACTCAAGAGCGATGAAGCTCGCATAGAATACGGTGTCCCGCAGGGTTCTATAATTGGACCAACACTTTTCTTGGTCTACATGAACCAGTTATGTGATATAAGTCTTCAAATCGACAAGCTTTCTACACATATTTAAAACACTTAGACAGTCCGCTGATACAAGTACATTAAATATGGTATACTCTGCTCTTTGCGAATCAATCCTTACCTATTGTGTGCCGGCCTGGGGCTGTGCTGCAAAAACTTCCTTTATCAAAGTTGAGAGAGCACAGCTGTTCTCAAAGTTATGTATTCCAAACATCTCAGATTTCCTACAAATGAATTATATTCGCTATCTAGAGTTCTGACTGTCAGGCAGCTCTTTATGCTCCGCACAATCCTACGTAAGCACCTCCTGGTACCCTGGCCGGACCCTTCGAAAAGGAAAACTCGCAAGGTCTGCCCTGTTCCTCGGCATAAAACTAAGTTTTCAACTCGACAATATCATATATTATCGCAACCGGCTCCTAACACACACTCATTCTCTCACGCACACATACACACAAACACACACTCACCCACACACACACCACACACACACACACACAGGCACACACACGGACACGCACACCTACCTACATACATACACTACACCCACTAACTTACAAACTTTTCTTTGCTATTTTTGCTACATTATTTCTGTAATAATAGTAAATCAGTTCCTTTTATACTAGTATACACGTAGTATTGTTTATGTTCTAAATGTTTTACTCGAATAGATCAAACGTTATGGTCGAACACTGATTTCCAAGATACAGGCCTATGCCTAGTTTGGATAATCAGAGCTCAATAGATTAATTTGTACGAGTTATTCTGTTAAAATTTTTATGTATCTACAGATTACGTGTTACATCCTGTACAAATCTTTTATGAAATAAAGTATTATTATTATAATATCCAGGCACAAACAACAGACAAACGGGTATGCATAATAGGAGCAGGAATAGCAGGTCTAACATCAGCCAAGTATATGAAAGAAGAAGGCATAAACTTCACAGTTCTAGAAGCGACTAACTACATTGGAGGGACGTGGCGATATGAACCTAAAATCGGCAGTGATGAATATGGAATGCCTATTTATACTAGTATGTACAAACATTTGAGGTAGGTTTTGATAGGTTTTAGTTAACATACGTGCTTATCATCATATCACTAACTGAATTATTTAATATTTATTTTTTATGAATTAAGGTATTATGACCAATTAATAAAGTCCATTTGTATTAAGAAAAGAGATGAGGACGACAATATCGATTTTCTTGTATACTTACAAATAAAAAAATCCTATAGCTACGAATAAATAGGCAACATGCTATTCATCTTGCTACTTCAAATAAAGTCAAAAAGAGTTTTTCATTTATTTGTACTTTTTGTGTAGGACCAATTTACCGAAACCAACCATGGAGCTCAGAGGTTTCCCAGCACCAGATTCGTGGCCTTCATTTCCAAGCTGGAAATTGTTCTACGAATATCTGAAAGACTATTCAAGACACTTAGATTTGGAAAAACACATAAAGGTTTACATAGTAACATCATATCATAAATTAGAAATCCAATCATAGTTTTATTTTGAGCTCTTGTTCGTAATGTACAAAGGTGCACAATAGTGCACCTTCCTACGTACACTGTTGTGCCATATTCAATCAATTCGTTATGCAAAAATTTCCTTTACAGTGCAAAATCTAATTACAGTTTCTACATATTGTGACTTCAGTAAGGAGAGAAGGAAACATTTGGAAGGTGACTTATAAACATATTCCAAGTGGAGAGGAATTTGTAGAGGATTATGATTTTGTGGTTGTTGGTACAGGACATCACAGTAAACCTAATATGCCAAACATACCAGGAGAAAAACTATTTAATGGTAATTTGCACTTGCCTGTTATTACTTCTTTCTGCTATGCTTAAGCTTTACTAAAAAAGCACTCAAAACTCCCCGTTTAATAAAATATTAAAAGAATATTAATTGTCCAAAATTTACAGGTACAATAATACACAGTCACGACTACAGAGTACCAGATGTTTACAAAGACCGTCGGGTACTCATGATAGGGTCGGGTCCTTCTGGAATGGATATCAGTTTGGATGTAGCTGAAACTGCAAAAACTTTAATACATAGCCACCATTCTGTAGTGAACTTTAGAACACCTTTTCCTGCAAATTACATCAAAAAGCCTGATGTGAAGGAGTTTAATGAGACTGGAGCGATTTTTGTAGATGGGACTTATGAAGATCTTGACGACGTTATATATTGCACAGGTTAGACTGAAATACATAACAAACATGGACTTATAATGCAATTCTATCAGAACCAAGTTTCGTTTTTGATTTGTCTGAAAATATATTATACTGAATGGGGCTTATTTAATGGGAGCCACGATTATAAATAATTTTTATAATTATAATCTTCTGTTAACTAATCTAATGCCTACACACCTGAGATACACTAAAAGCCAATTTATTAAATCGATAGGTATCCTAATATCGATTCTTATGTACTACACTATTCCGAATAGCAAAGATTTTTGTGAAACATTCTAGGTCTTGGTCTATCAGAACATAAAAGAATACTGGACTTTAATATCAATGCAATATATTATGTAGGTGCTTTTCATTTGTCATAATGGCACAAAATAATCAAATATTTAAAAAACAGTTAATATGTTTATTTAGGTAGTGAATTTAATAATGACCGATGGTATTAAACGCCTTCACCGATTACATTTTTATCATTCCCATTATTTCAACAGCACAAAACAGGACAATGGGTCATAATAAATAAATCAACAAACACTCAAATATTGTTGGTTTACGTACCTAGTGAAGTACACGTTTACATTAACATAGCGTATACAATGGCTACAAGGAACCGTACACTTCCACTAGTTTGGTATTCTATAGTTAAGTCAATGACGTAATAAAGTAATCACAAGATTTACATCATTTGCGTCGCTATTTCTTTATAACATGATTGACCCCATATCATATGGGTAAGGTAATGCCACTCAAAAAAATATTACAACAAAATTATCAATATAGGTCAGTTGATTGAAAATACACTGCAAATATTTATATTTAATCATAATATAAATATCTGTAAATGTTAAATAAATTGTATAAACAACATGTCCGAAACTATAGGAGACTATGAATGTGAATCGGGTGCAAGTCATAGTGAGCAAAACCATCAAAATGTACTAGTAATACCTACACACATAACTTTTTGTCTTCTAAGATAGCCACAAGCCAAAGAAATAATAAAAATATTACTAGAGACTGAGAATAGTTATTTGTTACGCAAGGCTGCAAAGTTGTTGTTTGACGCGAGTGCTTGTATTGAAACCTAAGCAAACGAAGGAAACTAAGATTGAACCACGAGCTAAGCGATTAGTTCAAAAATTAATTCCTGAGCGTAGCGAAGTTTTCAAGACACGAGTCGCAAAACAACTTTGCTGCCGAGCGAAACACACAACTTTTCACCTCACAATAGCGAGGAAAATGGTAGATGAAAGAAAAACAGTTGAACTAAAGAACATCAGGTTTACAAGAAAACGTTTATTTTCGGATGCGTTCTGAATTTACACCTCACCAATACCAATTTTTATTCTTGCTTGTACTTTTATTTTGTGTGATTACGATGACTATTGAAATTATTTTAGTTCTACGACGAATTAAAATAATTTAATAAACACAATTAGTTATCATTGTCAATTTACCGTAATGAGAATAAAATATACCAACGGATTTTTATTACTTATAGAAGTAATATACGACAAATCGCGTAGTTGAACGTGTCACTATCTTTTTTTTTCATCGAAAGAATCCATGCCCATGGGTGCACCACATTCCATCGTCAAGTTCGAATTTCAAAAACGCTTTTGCGTGCAGATTTCTAATGAGAAATAAAGCCTTTCCGAGCTAAAGAGAACTACAGAACTTCTCATGCTCTTAAAGTTCGTATTTATGCTGGGTGTAGGCTGCATAAAATAGGATTTTATGCTCTAGTGCATAGAATAAAAAAAAACAACACATTACATATGTCTAATGTTGTAATTTTACATTCAATTTTAATTAGATAATCGTTTATTTGTAACATTGCTGTTTAATTTACTCGCAATCGAAGTGAAAAGCAGAGTGTATAACTCGTTCATAAAATCCATTTTACCCTCGACTTAAGTTATACGTTGAACTATTTAAATAATTGGAAAGTTGAACTAACAGGATGATTTTTGTTCAATAAGTTCACCTTTTCGAAAAGTTGTACCTCGTTGAACTAATTGGAATGTTTGTGTCCGATTAGTTCAACTGTTTGACGGTCATAATAATTCTGTCTATGCATGTTTTCAGGCTTTGAGTACGACTATCACTTCCTAGACGAAACAAGTGGATTGACGCTCAACTACGCAAAGCGTAGTTTGACTCCTTTGCACAATTACGTAGTGAACATACACCAACCTACTATGGTTTTTATGGGACTCGTAGTACGAGCATGCGTAGTAATCGCTATTGATGCGCAGGTTCGTATATTTCTATTCATAAAAAAATCAAACAGGCGGCGCCAGAATCTTAGGCGTTCTTGTAATTGTCAATTTTAGCATTTGTTTATTGGCATTTGAACAATTTTGCTGACACATGTATCTATTTCTAAGGCTGCTAACAGATTGACTGCATGTTTGCAGTTAATGCGTGAAGTCGTAATCAAAGTTGTTACCGACTTCACGCATAAACTGCATGCAATCGATCCAGTGGCGGATTTTAGGGGCGGCCAATCGTGACAAAATATTCATTGATGATAATAAGAAATAACTCAAAAGTACCTAAATATTCTAAATGCTCACGCACATTATGGCGGACCGCACTGCACCGCATCGTATAACAATAATCTTCCTAAATCACTTTCGTACATTTTATTTATAAAAGATAGATATGTTACATATGTATAATGTAATGTATAATCACTACATCACGACGTCTTTCCGTCTGCTTGATCGCGATAAATTCAAAAACTACTGAAGGGATGCTGGTACTGACTACATGGCCTGAGGCCTAGGGCGGCCAAGACTGCAAATCCGCCACTGAGTCGATCTCGACTTCATGAAGTCTGTTTCGACTTCATGTAGTTAATGCGTGAAGTTGTTACCCGAGACCTCGACTGCATGTAGTCGAGATCGGCTTAATGCAGTTAATGCGTGAAGTCGTTATCAAGTACATGCAGTCGAGATCTCGCCTGCACGAAGTTGATTATGACTTCACGCATTAACTGCAAACATGCAGTCAATCTGTGAGCAGCAGTACATAATTTTATTTTTCTTTAAGGCTCAGTATGTAACTGCATTGTTGAAAGGAAATTTCACTTTGCCAACCAAAGAAAAAATGCTAGAAATCTGGCAGAAGCGAGTTGACGCTATTCGATCCAGAGGCAAGCCTATTTCACATATACATATCCTGGACCAGTATGAGGTAATATTGCATTTAACATGTTTCAAACCTACCAGTTTTAAATGACTTTAGGCTACAGCAATACATAGTGAAATGCGCGAAACGTAACAATAAAGTACGCACATTGTATATTTTAAATTTACATTAGTACGTATTTGTACTTGGCAGCCCCGCCTAAACATTTATTTTACTTATTTATTAACAAATGCTTTTGTTGTCAAGTTGAATTGAATAGGTAAGTAATTTATACAGTAATGATCTGACGATATATTTTCAATTGTTGATTCAATTTACAGGATCAATATTACGCGGAATTAACTAGGGAATCCGGGATACCGAGAGTTCCTCCAGTTATGTTCAAAATACGCAGCAAGGACATGGAAGCCAAATTGGAGAATTTGTATACATATAGAAATTATGTATACACCATTATAGATGATGAAACCTTTACTAGAACATTGGAGAAAGACAAATATAATAAAAGTTTCGAAAATGAATTGCATTGAGAGTCGAACAATATATAGTTCGTATAAAAACAATTATTTTCACAAAATAGACAATAATAGAATAATAAATTTTGACACAACACAATACATTCGTAAGTTATGCCTATGCATGCAGTCGTGTGTTGAAAACATGGTCGGCGCACTGTACATCACAGCCTTAGACCTAAACACTAAAGAGCAATCATAACTTAGAGAACAAAGTATAATTATAAAAATACAAGAACAGACGAACATAGCTGCAGTGACAGATTGGAGTATTTTAGATAAATATCGCAATGGCAATTCCTTGTCGGAGATGGTTCACAGAATTCTTCGAAAACGTGAATTACCTAACTCTCATTGTAGTCACATTTATTGAACTTATTGACTAAATACTCTCTTTAAAGAGGAATCCTACCAAGCAGTATGGCGTGTATTTTGTTATTGATGATTAAAATATATTCACTTCGCTTTTTTTCTATACAATTGCACTATATTTCTCTCTATTTCACTATTTGCTGAAAATATTTTACTTAAATAAAATATTATTGAAAACCTTATGCACACGGCGTATTTCATATGCGCCGACAATGGCGACGCGCAGATTACTCGCGTAAACGTGATACTGACACGACTGAGAAGCGCGTTTTGTTTCGCGTCTTACGCGCGTTTTAATCGTACCAAACGCGCACAAATATCGCGTTATATGCAAGAAGTTTTATATACTCCAATGGAGTTCACGCTTAAAATTTCATGTAGCTGCTTCATTTCAAAATATAACTGAAAGTAACAAACAAAATTAAAATTCTCAAAAAAAAAGTCTCTTATCAAAATATCTATGTATATCGCGCAGATGACGAGCGATTACGGTGCATATAAAATGCACCGTGTGCATAGGTTCTAAGAATTGTAATGACTTTATTAGTTATGACAATAATATTTTAAAATAGGATTGAAGTCATTACTACAATTATTGAGGTTATTGAGTATTGCCACAACTTAAAACATTACGGAAATCTTACACTATGGTTAAATTAAATGTAACGTTATTTTTATGCTAATATCTTGTGCACTTAAATTCAAATTTCAAATTCAAAAAGTGTATTTCAGACATAGTCCATATTAGTGTTAGTTACAAAAAAAATCTTACAATGTTAGTACTAAATTTGCGAAATATTACAGTAACTTATAAATTAAACCCCTGGAACCCATGTGGACTGAGTTCCAGTGCTTCCACAATTCACTGGCAGAGTTCTCCCAGATCAAACGAACTAGGCTATTGGAACTGCAACGCACGCGACGCATCAGGGAGGCAGTTCTTTTCCGAATAATCGCGCTGAAGCTATCAATACGCGCGTCCGCGAACATACCTGATGCGCTGCAAAATCGTGGCAGCCCCAACAGCATCGTAAGACCATTATTGTATTGGACACGCAGGGCATTGACCGTCGCTTTAGTGTAATTTGTCCATAAGCTGCACGTATAGAAGGTCTGACAAAACGCCTTGAAAAGGGTGGCATTGAGATTACCCTCACAACGCGCAAACCTGCGTGACAACATATTACAACGTACGGCCAACGCTCTGCGCTCCCTCTCCATATCTACATCATTCTGCAGATATTCTGTGACCCAGTGCCCTAGGTATACCTTGCTACTCTCTTGAGAGGCGCACCACACAAATAAATAGGAGGGATTGAAGCGAGGGCTTTGTTACCGGCTTTAAACACTAAAAGCTCGCTTTTATTTGTGTTATATGTTAGACCGTGAGTCATCGCATACTCCTCACAAATACTTAATAGTTTTACTAGCGCACTGATCGACGGGCACAGCAGCACCATATCATCTGCATAACTAAATTATTGACAGTGATACCACCAATCGAGCATCCAATTCCCGTGCTGCTGAGCCTGGCGATCAGCTCATCTATATACCAGTTAAACAACCTAGGTGAGCTGAGACCTCCTTGTCTCACTCCACACTCCAACCTATACACATCCGAGAGAGCACCTGCCCACCTCACCTGGTTGGTTTGATTAGCGTACCAGAAGCGGAGCAGGTCGATTACCTCACTTGGGGTATTTGTGCGTTTTTCCAATTTGTCCCAAAGGATACTATATGAGACTGTATCAAAAGCCCTGGTTAGATCCAAAACACAGGCAAACACTGGCGTTTGCCCCCTGGTGTAGTACTGGATGGTATGCTTAAAGCATAAAATGGCACTTTCCGTAGACAGATAAAGTATTTTTAGTATTTATAGTGTATAAATGTGAAAGAAATGATGTCTTTAAAATAATTACATGTAAATGTTATTGTTGTTTACATGGAAATGTCCACAAAGCCCTTGTGGCCATCATGTGCCCAGATTTATGGAAAAATAACTTTACTTCACAGGTTGTTGGTCAAATTAATATTGTTTTATAATATATTTTAAGACGTACCTACCCGATTATGAATAATAAATAATTTAACGGATTTTTGCGTTGTCTTCTCTTTTGTTAGGTACCTTGATATATCCTTATTGTTCATTGACTTACAAATAAATTGTTGCACGTTTAAAGTTGCTCGGCAAAACATCACTAATTCAAGCAAATAGTGTGATATTGATAGAGGATTCATTACTCAAATAAACTGGCTATTATTCCCGGTATAAATGTAATACATAAATTGATTGTCATCAGTACAAATAAAACCATATAATTCATTAAACTCTTGCGTAATTCCTCCTCAACAATCTACTACACATCGTACTCTTATATAGTAGGTATATTATTTACAGTCATGACGGTAATGATTAATTTACTTCATAATGTGTGCCTGCAATTTCACCAACAGCACCCTTAAGGCGTGTTCCCATTATGTCGTGACGACAGATAGTCATGCAGATTAAAGTGTCGTGACTTGTACATATAAATTAAGTAGTTCACACATAGAACAACACGATTAAATGTCGTTCACGACTTTTTTGACGTTACGACGACAGACTGTCGTGATGAAGGGAACAACTAGAACGACTGTCGTCTTACGATAAATAAAACGTCACGATAAAAATGTGACGACAGATAATCGCAGCTTCAAACGATTCTGCCGTGCAAACGACAAGGCGACTGCCGTGAACCGATAAATTGTTGTCACGAGATAGTAGAAACGGCTAGACACGACAGTCGTTCTTGATAAAATAAACGTCCACGACACAGTTACGGCAGATAGTCGTGATATGGTAATCGGCTAGACGCGACAGTCGTCCAGCGGTAAATAAACCGTTACGACGTAATGGGAACGCGCCCTTACCCTTAAAAACGGGAACGCAGCAATGCTCACATTACTTTTTGGCGACAGAAATAGGTAAGGTAGCGATACTGCCCTGGACGAACTATTACGTAAGAGATGACACTCAAATACTTGTTAAAACTAAACTTACATCTACTCGTTCAGAGGGTTTTTTTCCTCCCTAAACTCCTCATTCTTCATTCACTCTTTCAGTCTGACATATTGTTCATTATTCATTAAATTTTAGGGTACACTACGAGCCATTGTAGTTTCGCTACGTCGTTACAGCCCTTTAAGCCTCTCTCGTGCAAAGTAGTCAATGATATAGTAGAATTATAAATACATAAAAAGATTACATCCCTTTTGCACTCAAATATATACACTACACACACTTGCCTTATTGATAGGGGAGAAAGTGTTTTAAAATACAACAAAAAGTTGCATTAAACGCTCCAGTGCGCATTGAAGATCTATATGTTGTATCAACGTCGTTTTTATTATATTTAAATTCCTTCAACAATTCAACAAAATTAGATATCATCGTTTTGTGGTATCAGTACACTGATGAAAACTGACGGTTACGTCGTATACAATAATGTTCAATTTTGCAATATCAAGACTTGGATACTTTAGCATTTGTTTTGCTGTACCTAGTTAAAGAGTAATGGAACAATAATAACTACTACATTATTATCACATACAAGTACCTTCGTTGATAATGTATGTAATATTTATTTGTACTACGAGTATTAATGCTCTTTGACGTCAAACACGTAACACACGTTATTATTGTAAAGGAACCATTGGTTCAGGTGTAAATTTCCAGAATATTATCGAGAGTCATAAAAACTTACGCTTTGCATTCTTATATTTTAGCAAACCAGTCCAACCATGAATTTCATAATTTAGTTTAAATGTGCGCAATCTATTCCTATTGTTTCTTGTACAGTCAAGTGCACGTCAAGCATGATTCTTTGAACTTTGAACCGTTCTTACCGCTAGAGTCGAATTTAAGTCGGAAGTGTCAAGAAGCTTCACGTGCCGTTAACCCTGTACCTCTCACTGTAATTAGACTTAAATTAGCCACCGCATCAGCTATCCAAAACTCTTTGTTTGTCCAAAATTCTTTCTGTATTTATTATTTTGACAGTGATTTTTTTTAGAAGAAGCGTTCTTTCAATGTTGGACTGTAACTGTGGTATACCAATAAAACAGACTTGTAACTCTAGGAAATCGAACTTTACGCAATCCAATAAAATATATTTTAATTAATAAGTTATGTTTGCAACTGTGCATTTTGCAATTGAGTAAGGGTATTTCGATTTTTCGTAAAAATTGTATCCAGCAGCAAAATGTCAACTAGGGACACTTATACATCTGATAACACAAAAACATTTGCTATAGACTTACTATCGTTTATTTAGCATGTCAATAGCGGTCATTGACCCGACTTTCGTCCCAAAGCCACAATTCGATAGCAACCGATCGTCGATCACTTTATATAAATTATTAAATCTTGATTTGCCTGAGTAATAATGAAACTTAAATGACATAATATAAAAAAATGTGAAATTGAGGCGTATCACTCTAAGAAACTAAATATTATTATGTTATTATTATTATATTAATTACTTTTAATGACATACATATTTAATGAAAATAATCAATATCAATTACGTTACAATAATACACCACTCCACATTAAAACTAATAATCGATACTCGGTGCTATATAATTATAACTCAGTTTTTTTTAATTCATAATTTTAAAATACAAATTATGTAAAATCTCGTTTAACATACACAAAAACTACGGTTCTCTAAAAAAGCTGTTTAAGTTATCCTCGTTTGTTTTGCCTACTTTTCACGCCAGAAGCGGTCGCCTTTTGCATTTTGTATTGAACATGTCGGCGTGAAAGACAATTTTGGTGTTATTTTTTAATTCGTGTTAATAATTTTATTATGATTTGCTTTATTGTATTTTACCAGAAATAATGTCACTTTTAGATTTGGCGACTCGGACGGATTTTAGTCTACTTAAATTATACATTGTTAAGTTTTTATTACATATTCTTTGTAAAAATAAAGGCAATGTATTCAATTGATAATTTTCATTACTATCAATTATATTTAAAAGTTTACAATCCCCGACTCATGACCTTTGTACGTCAAGGTGACTTCTACCACGTTACGCTAACGATAACACTTTCGTATACGTTACTCTACTGGCTCTACTCTTGCTTTCCGATCTGTATGCTTGCTGTATGGGTTTCCGAGCGAGAAGATGAACCTGGGACCTTACCATGAACTCTTACTACGATTCAGTTTAGGAACTAAAATGAATATATAATAAGAGGTCATGGTAAGGCCCTAATTCCTATTATATCTTTCTAATTTGTGAGTTAAATCAACGAATCTTCCGATTTGAAATATCAAAAGTTTCCGATCGGCCAGTTGTGAATCGCAATTATGCGCCTCGACTCGGAAGAGACGCAGTTTCCGATCGGGAGTGGCAATCAAAATCAAGCTACAGGTCGTTATAGCGTTGTGAGTGTGACCTGTCTCCTTCTTGATTAGTAACACTACAGTACTAGTACGGTGCCGCCGGTACGAGTTAGGTTTTAATAATTTAGAATTCATTATCGCCTCAGATCATTAACAATTGCTCGGAGGTTAATGTCAAGTGTAAAATTTAAAAACAAGTAAGTTTTTACCTAAAATGCATTCATTTTAGTTTTTTATGCAAATGTTTTCGTTAATAGCAACACTTTTACTCCACTTTTGGGGACATTTAATTTTCTGCTACGGTCGATTCGAAACAAAAGATGTTGAATTTAAATCAGATTCAAATTATTAATATTAATACAAATTATTTTACTAATAAAATAATAATTAACAATTATCGACAAATATCGACGTTGCGCGTTTCGCGTCCGCGTAGACACGTCTTTTTCGCTCTTATTACATGGACATAAAGCTTTTCTGAACGATTCTATTATAGCTGATTTCGCTATAGTGTGGTGACTTTTTTAATAATAGATACTTAATCGAAATAATCATTAATTTGTGTTCATACAAATATATAAAAGATAGTTATTTTTTTTCCTGTTTTCACAGTTATTTACGTTGTTCCTAGCTGTCAAAATCGCTCAAGTTTAGGAATGGGTTTAGTTAGCTTTTTCTGAATATCGTTTCGAAACTATATATATATATATATATATATTCTGAAACTATATATTCATGGATACAGCCCGCGTGCGCGCTGCATTGACACATTGCCGTTACTTATATTCGGAATCAGATTTCGAAACTATATATTATTGGATATAGTTTTACAAGAGCAATGCGAGCCAATGTTAGTATACGGTTTCGAAGACGCACAAAAAATGGTTTCGCGTAGATATCCACTCAGTGAATATCTGATGCGAAGCACTATCGGTATATAGTTTGGAAAATATATGATTTCATGTTGGTATCCACTCGGTAATCGCTCGGCTTGATTCGGCATCGCTATAAAATATACGATGCGGAGCAATATCGATATAGATACACGATATCGGGTATTCGATATTGCCACAATATACAGGGTGTCCGGTAATGAATGTATCATACTGAAATGGCTTATAGCACAGCTTAAGACTGTTCCAAAAAAATGCAAAAAAAATCTATCCCATGTAGTACCTAAGCAATGTTTTTTTTTTGTTAAAAGTTAATTATTTTTATCTTATTTTAGGTTTTTGTGCACTATGACTACAAATGAATGAATTTATTTGGTTTTTTGGTGTCATAATATTCTACGTTAACTG